ACTGTTCGCTTCCTCTGCACCGCTGGGACGGACACGGTAGACTGATAGGAAGTTGCCGGTGCACCGTTTTGTTTCTTCGCATGGCAAATGCGTCAACCACATGCGCAGAGCTTGTACCCAAGTTTCTGTTGGCGCCTTCAAGCGGCCCACAAATGGAACATTGGCGCTAGCATTGTTCGCATCGAGGGTCCACGCGCGGAAATAGGTCATGGTCAACCTGGCGTTTACCTCTTCTTGACCCGCTTTCTGCAGGGGTACGGGCGAATTCTCAAAGTGCGGGCAACACGGGCGACGCCGACGTAGCAGATAACAACGGTGTCGGAGTTGTGCTGTTGCCGTTCGATCTTCTAAACATATTCGACCCGGCGTAGTTTGCCCAGCCAGGCAATAGTGAGTCCCTGGTTGCAGTTGCAACTTCTTGTCGGGATCTGTTTGCTTTTGTATCAATTTGAGACCTGCTGCCGTCAACGAAACGTCCCAGCTACTACGCTCTTCCAATTCCCATTCACGTTGCGTCGTAGGTACACGAGCCATAGTGACTGCCCAATTTGTAACGAACTCATACGGCGACAGCCACCACACCTCTGCTGTCTTGGGCCGGTGCCCATAAACTTCTACAATATCAAGTGTCCCTAGGTGTCGGACACCAGACGATTGCCTCCGGGTCCATTTCACGGCGGCGCGTCGCATGGACGACGCCGCTTCATCTCCGTTGTGATATTTTGCAACAAAGTCCGCAAAAGCAGCCCCGGGGAAGCTTTCGAAGGTTGTTGTTGCAATGCGTTCGGCTGAGACGACCGTGTCGTCGCGATGACAGGCGCGCAGATTGCAACATTCGACCTGTCCTCGCACCACGCCTTTGAGATACGCATCGCTGAGGAATCGGTTTGCATGTCGCTTGCCTAGGTCATCTAATGGTTTCCGCGCATGCTGCGCATGCAACTGTTCGTGTCCTTTTTGGAATTCTCTGATTTCTCCATGTCCCATCGGCTGGCTCTTGGAGCAGTAATCCGCGCAATAGCCGGTTTGTGCGTCTTGCGCCCGTTGCGCCGCCAATGACATCTGTTGCCGTTCTTCCGCTGTCAATTGGTCGCCGCAAGTTAGACATGAATATGGAAGCCGGTATGGCACCTGCACGTCGCAATTTGCACCACGTAGTCCTGCCAACATTGCTGGTGCGCAGCCATTTAACCACTCATGCCCACAGGGTCCATGCAAAGCTCCTAAGCGATTTTTTCGTCCACCACTTGGCATTCCGTATGTTTTCAACTTGCAAGGACATAATACAGTAGGTTGCGCACACAGCCATTGCGTGCGGGGAAAATCACTCTTACACAGCCCTGGCCGGTCACTCTTTTGGCAGCCTGCCAATGGGACGCGACTTTGGCTAATTTCATTGTAAGGATGGTAGTGATGCTGTTTCAGAAGCTGCAGTTGGACGACGTCTTCTGCCATGTAGCGCCTTCGCCAGTCTGCAGCTTCGTTTTGGGCGTTATCGGTTTCAGTGGCACGTCGGAGTTGATATGTCGGAACCGTTGTCATCGTCACATCCAGCTCGTGCGTTGGCCAGGATGCTTCCGCAGCGGCGATGCGGCGTTCCATGTCTTCATTCGATTGGCCCACGTAACTTGCATGACACACATGCGCATTATATGCTTCGTATTCTGCGCGCAACGCAGCCAACTTGTCGTGCGAAAGCCGGAAAATTTCCTCTAGTGACGTATGTTGATGCAAACACTGCACAAACACTTGCATGTGGCCATGTTCCGCCCCGCTGCTCTTCTGAGCTTCGAGGGATATATATACCGCGTCCACGCGCCCGAATATGCCACCGTTTGCTTCTGCGTTGCTGCCACCCAGGTCTTGACACGGTTCCAATCAACTGAAACGATTGCAATCCGGACAGAATGGACACACGCGAACACCGAAGAGATGTTTCAACATTAAATGTGTAAGCACCCGAAACCCATCCACAGCAGCCAATGGATCCCGCGCCAGTACTTCGCGACGCTCTGCCCAAGACATCGGTAAAGTGAACTCATGCTCGAAAGGTCCCCTGGCAACAACGTCTTGCGATCCCAAATGAGGGAAAAACATGTCCCCTGCCGGGAAATCTTGCGTTATGGATGCGGCGCGGACAGGATCACAGGAGCGAACGCGCGTCATCCGAACAAAAAGCAACTGATGCGCTTCATCTGGCGTAAATGTCACAAACAACGGCACTCCGTACCGGATACGCATGGCTTGAATTTCGAACCGCATCCTTTTCCGAGCTTCTTGGGTCCCAGGCAGGCCTTGGGCTGTATGCCGCATGTTGTTCAAAAGTTTTCGGGCCATAGGCTTTAGGCCTTGCACATACCGGAGCTTTGCGACATCACCTTTGACGGGCCGTGGTTGCCCATTGACATCTATGTAGGAACCTTTCAAGGCAAGGAGCAATTGCTGGGCAGCCGCTTCGACGTGGCGCCCTGTCGGTTGCACCCATTCTTGGGTGTCCTCATCAAAGAATGTGCGGGAATATGCGTCTGTGGTACGTGAAAGGTTCAGCGCAGATCGAAAAAGCAAATTCCAGGATGTAAAGCCAAAAACCCAGTCACGACTGACTTGGGCTTCGATGCGCCGCGCCATGGCGCGTACCCACGTATTCAGCTCCACATATGGATCATCCGCGTGTCGTCGTGGCCGCTGTCGCTGGCTCCACTTAGGAACATCGGGTAAGCCAATGCCGTACGGGAAGACGAATGGGAAAGCCAACGCAAAATACAGCGGCTGGAACTGGTCCATAAGCTTGGTACCAGTATACAACGTCACTTCGGGCAGAGGCCGTGCAGATGCTGGCTCAGCGCGGGCCACAATCTCTTCCAATGCAGAAACATGTTGAGCATTCACGTCTTGGTATCCAGCACTTGTCTTTTCCAGGACAACCGCATTGGGTTTCAGCATGTGACCAAATTCTCGTCTCGCCTCTTCGGCAGTCATTTGATCATTCACCGGTGTGGCAGCCTTTTGGCGTAACACCTGATCTAGACTCCCATCGTTGTCAAGCAATGCAATGATTTCAACCGGCACGTCATTCTCGGGAAGCATCTCAGCGCGCGTTTCTACTACTGCCATATCTAGACCCTGATATGCTGGATGGCTACGCGCAACCATGGCAGCAATCAGCCCTACAACGACCCGGCGACGAACCACGGCCTGGTGTATAATCTGTTGACGTATTGCCTCTTTATCTGTCTTGTCACCGATTTTTATGATGACGGCTACCTTGTCACTTAATTCCTTACCAACGTGCGGCAGCATATTCACAGAAGCGTCGGTGGCCGGGGTTCCCAGACGCTCAAATTCCGCTAACAGGTCTTCCCAGGGGAGCGGGAATGTCGTGGCATTGCCCTTTGCACACAGACGATGTCGATTCATGAGCGCATCTTGGGCTAGACTGCGATCTTGGAGATACCGCCATTCAATGCTGAAACAGGTTAATGCAGTCATGCAAGGACTTGCGCATACTAATTCCAACATCGTGCATTCTTGTGTATATAATTCTCGCGGCGGATGCCCCAGGAACAAGTCGTTGCTCAGTGCCTCTAGGGGCTTCATTCTCTGTCGATATATCCTGGTGCGGCAAGACGTGCACATAGGTATTTCGCAATGTGTGCACAGCCGATTCGACGGACAACGCTGTATGCATCTTTTATCTTCTGGGCATGCAAGCACGCTCATATTATATGGGGCGCAAGCGATGGTACAGGTCCACTGCGCCAATTCGGATTGCAAACCGGGTTGCATATCAGCAGGCAAGGTCGTCACATAACGTGAGTGATACATGCGCATCCCCAACAAAGCTTCGAGCATCTCAGGAACATGATCTAAGAACAGTCCAGTGCGTGGCTCGTATGCTCGTAGCCATGAAATTTGTTGGTTCGGAAAACCGTCCACGAATGGGAACCGACGCGCGCACACGAAGCAGATCGCGGTACCGACCTGGTGACCCAGCATGTTGGAACGGAATCTCCGCAAACAGCGTCGGTCAATAGAACAAGTCGCAAGGGGACCAGACTGTTGGCAGCGCTGCGTCAGCAGGTCCTGATATGCCTGGAATGTCGCTTGCGCGGGGCCAACCTGTGATGACCACCGCAATGCCAAGTCATGTAATGCAGTCGCATGATGCAGTGCAATGTGTTCTGCGAGCGCCGCTTGGGTCGCACACTCGAACCCGCAGCTTCGAAATGCGCAATGGTAATCCGGCAAGTCATATGCCATCTCAGGGTCAGTTGCGGCATGCAGGCGTTCCGGCAACGTAGGCTTGTCTGAAAGAAGAGCTGCTGCATCTTGCATTGCAAAATCATACGTTGCCCGAGGGTCTTTGTTTCCTTGCGACGGCTTCCAAAGCCGCAAAGGATAGATATCTTCTGCGTCAGTGCTAGCGCGTTGAAGCGAACCAGTGCCGGATGTTGGTGCCGTTGTTGATCCGACCGGCGGTGCTTTGTGGCGCACACGGCGGGGAGGCACATTCATCTCTGTTTTGCGCAGTGGGCTTGCACTTGCATCTTGCTGCGTTGCCTTCCGTTTTCGCGCATTACTGCTCAGATTCACTTCACTGGTACTAGTTGGTTCTTGTCTCTCGGCTGCTGTGCTGTGCAAAAAACAGGTAGCAGCTGCATCTATTGCAGCTGTCTTGTGACCGACATTTTCCTTCTGAGCTGTCTCCATTGAACCATCTGACAATCGTTTCCCAGCACCTTGCGTCTGTGTAGTATAGAAACCGCGCCACTGATTTGCTAATCTACGCGCGTGATGCATGCCTGCATCTGCAAAAGTCAACCCTGCCTGGAGAAGGGTGTGTAAAATTATTCCCAGCGCATCTAAGTTCCACCAAGCATCACTCACTCGATGCGCGTCTGTCTCGTCAACTTGCACATCTGCGCCCCTCTGGTCACAGAACCGCTGTAAGATTTCACGCACTTGCTTAATCTGCGGTGCGCGCAAATCGCTCGCTGCGCCTATGCCGGCAGCGCAGCCACTTGTTTCAAACGAATTTGTCGGCGGCGCTACCGTGCACGTTGCATTCATGTCATTTTGTTTGCTACCTTGGGCTGTTGTCTGCGAGTCGCCACTTGTGAACACAGGCCGTTCTGCTGGGTTAGCAGGCAACAAGGCAGCGTAACGGCCGTTTTTGTAGCGATAGAGGCGGAAGACTGGTACTAGCAAGCTGTCAAGTCGACCGATGGTATAAACTTCATGCGGTACACTGAGGTCAGTGGCAGTTGAATCGTACACATGTACCTCAGCATTCACTTCACCTCGGCTTCCACTTGTGAAAAAACATACTGCTCTCGCGAGATGACGCTGTAAGTCGAAGGCTTCGTCGCTCTCTAGTTGCTCCGGTTCTAAACTTGCCTGGCATGTTCTACATAGGTGAAAGCATGCATCCTGACACGCAAGCAAATCTGGAAACTGTGACATATATCCATGAAAAATCAAATTTGCCAGCAGCGCATCAAGCCAAGACGTCGCGAAAGTTGTGCCATGTAAGTACCACGCCATCTTTGCAAATACGGTTTCTGCTCTTTGATCTGCTTGCTGCTCTGCTGTCTCCTTGTTACAACTCGGCTTCTCAGGTGTGCCATCGCTTCTCTGCGGCTCTCGTTGCAAATCATTGAGTTCCGCTCCTGTCGGAACGGACTCTGCTTCTGTCTTCATTGCGTTGGTGGCCGTTGCGGTACGGCTTCTCTTGTTCTTTGGTTCGGCTTCACGCCCAGTGCTCGGGAGCAAGCTATCAAAATGATACCCTCTACCCTGAACAGAAGTGTGGTTATAAATGTGTAGCTGCAAAACAGGCTGTTCTGGGCACCCATGGCCAAAATTCACTGCAATTTTATTCGCGTCTGCTCCTGCAGCATGCTCACCAAATCTGTCATGCACATGAATTAGCACACTCGTGCGCGCAACAACGCGAAACCAGTGGAGCAAAAAGCCTACAATTCTGGGGCCATCCCGATGCGCATCCAGGAACGGGAAAAGCCCATTGCTGCCTGGCGCCACTTCGTCCCCAATCTCTTGAATCAAATGCTTTCTGCATGCAGCTGCAACGCGTCGCCTTGCTGTGACATCTGTTGTTAAGTTATTAGGCAAAATGTGCTCATACGACAGGCACAACATCAGGGAATCGATCAAGCAGTTATTCACACCGTGTGACAGCGCTTTCCGCCACATGAACCCTTCGGACGCCAAAGCCTGCAATGCTTGGGTGTCGGTCTTGCTTTGGTAAGGGGCATTTTGCTGGGCAATGTCGCACAGTCGCTCCGCGATTGCAACACAACAGCGCTCTGTCGCACATTGGCGCAATTCTTTCCAGCCGTCCCAAGTTGGAACCCAACTCTGTCCAAGCACCTTTACTGCATCATCTGGGGTGTCAACTCGAGACAGTACGATTGCTTCTACCAGCTGCTGCGCGTCGTCCCAGGGAAGCTCTACGCCTGCTGCTTCCTGTGGCTGCACTTTCAGACCTTGTTCGTTTCCCATTCCTCTTGGACGGTTTATTCCTCCTGTGCACAAAGTCAGCATTAAATCGTTAAATGCTTCCGCATTCGTATGTAGCAACCCTTGGTTCTGAAACATTTTGCTGAGACATCTTACTGCAAAAGTGTCTTTTACCTCTGCCAATAAACCATCGTCAGTCGCATGGCAAAGTGCGCAGTGGAAGTGCCCGACTTCCCAAGATCCGTGGTTATCGCACGCTCCGCGACCACAAGTGTAGCAGTGCGACACATACTCATCACTCAATTGTTTTGGAACATATGCGCTTTTATATGCTAAACACATGAAACACTGCAATTGTTCTGCGCCGCCTCCTTGACATCGCACAGGCAGCGCCCCGCGCATATCAAGTGCATACTGTCTTGAGCGTTTTGCATGTTCGAGCTCAATGGACGGCTTTCCCGTGTGTGTTTGAACTACCAACCCCAACGCGTCAGGGGACACCTCAATGGTGTTATTGGCCACTGCCATTCTTGATTCTACCTTTTCTGCAGGAAGTGTCTCTACAGTTTGCGACAAACGGTGCTTCGGGAATTGAATACTCCCATGCAAATGATCCGCCGCCCCCAGCAGCTGGGGAGACACAAGTGGATGATGGTACAAAGTATGCTGCCGTAATGAAGAACCACAGCTGGCACCTTCGCATCGTGTCTTACACATCCTCACCTTAAAAACTAGGTTTCGATTAGTGTATGTTGAGCTACGTGATTGCCCTACCTGTTTGGTTGTCCTACTTCGCCACCTGCGGGTGATTGCACAAAAGCTAGTCCTCTTGACATGTTCCCTTTGTTGTCGCGGTTGCTTTTTTTGGTTGCTGCCTTTCCAAGCTTCATGTTCGGGAAACTGTAATGCTTCTGCTCCACCTCCTCGCAATCGGACAGGTTTCATATGGATATTAGGTCTGGTTGTTGTGCTCCAACAGTTTCTAGTTTCCGCATCCTTCTTGCCTGTTTTGTGCTCCACATTGTCCTTTGTCTTCCTTCTATTTGGGGCTAGATTCTGAGTACCTAACTTGCCATTGACTATCGAGCGCAAACTCGTCCAGATTCTCCGGGCGCGTGTTTTGCGGGCATGCCCCACCCAGCGACATGGTAGAATCTTCGTTCTTATAGAGGTTGCACACGCAACGCCGCTGTTAACTTTAATATGTGTTACTGGTAGTTGCAACTGGGAATGCCAACAACAGTTATCATCCCTGTCAAACTGCGCTTCCGATTTGCCATGGCACCTACGTAAAGAAACATCATGTACCTGTCTTGCAACTTTCAAACTATATGCTTGTGTCAAGGTTTTTGCATTTTTTTCTGAACTCTTCCGAGAACTATCTTTCCGGCAACTAGTTTTCTTTCGTTGCACCCAATACCTTGCTGCCGTACCCTCCATACGCGTAAGACGCTCATTTCCTCCCTGAAACACTTGCATAAGGCAGCTGCATACTTCGTGATTGTCTGGATTTCTTGGCGCCTTCAACCGACTTGTTGCATACAAATGCTTTATATCAAATGGATACAAGAAAGCTTTGATATACCTTCCTGTCTTCAACATCAGGACTGCTAGGGATTCATTTCGGAGATGAATGTCCGCTCTTACACACGTTAAGTAAGGCATGGCCCATTCTTGATACCGGCATAGAATAGTAGCACTACCAATACATGCCAAGGCATAGCTACGTTTACGACACGGCAAACATGCATATTGAACATGAACTTGACCTTGTTGATTTTCGTGTTCTTTTTGCTTTTCCGTCATGCTACTTTGGACGTTTCTTTTCCTGCATCGAAGTTCAGGAGAATATTTCTGGTCATGTGGTTGTTTGTGGTACAACCAGCAAAACCTAGGTAGTTGTTTTTGGTACCACCACCAAAACCTATGTGCTTGTTTATGGTACAAACACAAAGACCTGTTTGGTTGTTTATGGTACAACCAAAAAAACCTATGTGCTTGTTTATGGTACAAACACAAAGACCTCTTTGGTTGTTTGTGGTACAACCAAAAAAACCTATTTTGTGGATGCGTTTTACGCATCCGTATTCACCTGAGTCCACAGGCAAATCACGCATAAAGGATGCACGTGTTGCATTGAAGTTTCAGGTTCCCACAAGAGCTCGCTCACCAACCCTGTCTGCTACGGAGCAGATGCCACCTTATTCGAGAACAGTAACACCCTTGATAAGCATCATTCCGATATACTACGGCTGGTTCATAACATCTGTCATAAGGCTCGTACATGGCGTTAGAGTCTTTAACCTTGTTGTGTACGACCTTAGTTTTTCTCGACTTGATTTATCACACATTCCGTTTTGAACACTTGCACCTGTTTCTGTGCACTGCCGCCAGCACATGATGGCCTCTATGTCGCTTAGCACGCGGTGCACCAGATACCTATGCCCTTAGTCACAACTACTCTTACACACTTACGCGAATGTTGGTTTCAAAGCATGCACACAAGGCAGAAACCTAGGGTTCCTACGCAGCACGCGTGCGGTGTTCGTGGCTTCCCCCAACGCTTTGCCAATCCGAGATAGGGAAGCCAAAAAACTGCAACATTAAGAATTCATTGTTCACTGTCAGCCTTTTCTCTGAACCACAGGTGCCAAAAAAAGTGCACCTACCAAATCCTACTACAAGTTTACAAGATTCACTTCCTTGATCCTGAGACGATGGAATCTGTGGATCTCTAAATCATTCACATCCTCGAAAGGTCTCCGGAAAAAACACTATGCTTTTAGAACAAGTGCAGTAGCAAGTTAGAAACTTCGCATACAAGACGAGCAGCGGTCCTCGTGTTCATGTTCAAGCAATGTTTCTTCCTCCCTCTATGTCCGAAGTCAACCTCCAATACTTTTGATGGAAGTACGAGCTGAAACCAATAAGCCTCTTAGACTTTCTGGCGCCTATGGCATGGCCGCAAAGAGATACCGACACAGTTGACAAATAAGGGACTTCATTCTACTTATCTTGGAATATTGAAGTTCAATCAGTTACAATAAATGCAACTTGGCATTGCAAAGAGTAATTTCATGCGACTTCCATAACCAACTGTCGGCATCTTCGGCGGCGAAACGGCTCCAGTTCAGCTCCAGTTTCCCCCGTTTGAACGGGGACTGGAGATGTGGAATTCTCTCCACGTTTTTGTGGAGCACCACCGTTGTGAGATCCATTTCTCTTCTTTAAACCATGGTTTAAAAAAAAACGCAATTCTGTTTGGTGAACCCTTTCAGGTTCAAAAATCATCTTCTTTGTCAGTTAAACCCTTCTGTTGATGAAACCCTATATATATATATATAATCATATTGAATCATATTAAACTAGCTTGTTGGTTAAATTGGTTGTTGATTAAATCATATTAAATCCTACCTATTTTAGGGCTTAGCAGCTAGCACAGTCGCACGGTCGTCGTCTCGTCGTCTCAGGAGATCCGGGCCCAATATCAATCAGTGTCATCTGGTCACTCCTCAAGTTCAACAAAGGATATTAGAGAATAATGACTATAAATAAATAAAGGATATTAGAGGTTGGATAATGTTGGATAATAAATAATATCCATCTATTACCATTCTCCAACTATACAATATGGATCAATATGGATGATTTAGTAATAATTTAGATGAAAACCCTACTTAGATGGGCCATGGAGTTATTTAACTGGTTAGCAACTGGAATTATAATATCGAGAAAATCCGAATGAAGTAAGCCATTTACTAACTAGTTTTCACTAACTCCATGGCCCATCTAAGTATGAATACCCGCTGGTAATTTAACATCATATAGCTATTGAAAGTGGCACTTTAGTTCCTTGATCTACCTATTATTTTTTATGGTGATTTTCTATAGCAAACTATTAGTTGACCAGATGGTACTATTACAGGGTTGCTTAAACCACGACTTGGGATGATTAAACAAATCGTAAACCTCTGCCAAAGTATTAGTCAGTTGGAATGATTATTCCCAGTATATGGAAACATAAAACGTGTTCCAAACCACCAACCAGAACCTTCAATCACCACTTTGACCATGAAATCCGGTTGGTTGATTGGAAATCCCGCTGTAATTATGCTCATATTGCTCATATTAGGTAGTATAATCCGCTGTATACCGATATATCCCAACTTATTTTGTTTTTCAATCGAGTTGAGCCCATTAAAAAAAAAAAAATGCATAAACTCTGTTCCTCACTTCGGCGGCACTGCCAGACGCACCCAGCGCGTGGCGCGCAAATGCAGCTCTGCGTCGCGCATGCAATCGCTAAGACTCAGGGGTTCGAAGGTCCTAACTTTCGCCAAGACATGGAGATTTTAGTGTGAACATCTGGGAAAAATGATAGGATAGTCACGTGAACATATGGGAAGATATGAAAAAAATGACAATCATGGGGAAAATCATGGGAACATATTAACATAGTGGATAATCATAGGAAAACACATGTGACATGTATGGGAAATATGAGGAAAATATGAGGAAAAAATCATGGGTTCCTATGGGGAAAAAATGGGAAATATATGGGAAATGTACGGACAACACGACTAGCTGGATGGTTTATTTCATTGAACATCCGAATGAAATGGAGAACTGGTGGTACCTCCATTTTAGGAAACTTCCATAAATATTGGTAAATTATAATATTTCATTAACCTGAATGGTTCGGCCATAAAAGGGTATGATTTCCTATATCAAAACCGTGATGCCAGGGTTCGGGAGAACAGTGAAGTCGTTATAATTTACTCATATATAATATATGGATAAACATAAGCCATAAACAATAGATATCGAATAGCTAAGAGTTACCAGAAGATCTAAGAGTTTTTGCAGCTAGCAATACAAAAGGGACCTCATTCATGGCGATTGATCCAACCGGTGCATCCCACGAATCCTAAATGGCTTAGGAAAAGAAAACAATTCTATGTGGCATACCTTCTATGATTAATATAGGATATGTATATATATATATTACATACATTTACATATATCTGGGTAAATTACAATGT